GAGACCTCTGACCTGACGGATCGGAAGGAGCTGTGGCTGTTGCCAGGGAAATGAGCAAGCAAAGGCCCTGAGGTGGAGATGATGGGGGGCGGAGAGTGACTTCAGGTTTGTGCAGGCTGGCGGTCAGGGTCGAGATCCTGGCCGCTGATGTCCAGTGTGCTGGCAAGATGGCCTGAGATGGCTGAGTGGCAGCGTCAGTGGCGTGGAGGAGAGCAGGACAGGCATGGCTTCGATCTGCCACCACTCTAGCCTGGAAGCTGCTGTCCCTTCCCATTCCCGCATACCCCCATGTGTCCTCTGTCTCTGTCATATTTTAGACTGGCAGCTTTCACACTTTATTTTTAGCAGCAGAACTTTTTTGCCTTGCTGTCTTAGGGGAAAGTTCTGCATGCAGAGTACATCAGGCTGAGCTGCTCCAATGCCTGTGAGGGTGGGGAGCTCTGTCTTCTCTCTCACCATCACTCCCCTCTGCCTCCTAGCATCACTGAGGTGTCCCAGGCTCCACCCCCCCACCCCCTGAGCCAGGCCGTTTCTTCTCTTGAATGATGGCTGCGACCTCACTCCTGGTCCTCAGCCTTCAGTGCTGTCCGGTCCCTCCCGTGCCATCTCATCTGTCTCATGCTGTCCCCTTCAAGCTCTGCTAACCTGTCCCAAGTGATCCAACAGAAAATCTGGTCTCTCTTAAGACTTGGACCTAAAAACTTTCTGCAGTGCTGTTGGCTGCGTGGCCTTGCCTCCCTGGTCAGCCTTGTCAGCCACCATTGACTGTGCTGTGGCTCCTTACACAGTGGCCCAGTGCCCTTCCCTGGACCCGTGATGCTGTCTGAAGCCTCTGCCCGTGTCCTTAGCTCTGATCAGGAGGGTGCTCCTTTTGCCTCTTCCCAGTGTGAATGTCAGACTTTCAGGGCCCCCCATCTTTCTCCAGTCTCCCCTGTTCCTCCCATCCATTTTGTTTTTTAGTTACTTTTTTTTAAAGTAATTTTGTGAGACAGCACTCATGCAGGTGGGGGAGGGGCACACAGAGAGAGAGAATCCTAAGTGGGGCTCACACTGTGGGGTCATGACCTGAGACGAATCAAGGGTCAGATGCTTAACCGACTGAGCCACCCAGGTCCCCCGTCCTCCCATCGACTTTTGAGCAGTAGTAGATATGTTGGAAAATGTTTAACAACAGGCTTTTGTTGGGGGCTGGTTTGGGGTGCATCCTGATTTCTGTGGTGTAAACATTTCATTAGCACAGAGCGCAGGAGCACCAGGCCATGCTGGCCTCAGCACACAGGTCCTTAGGACCCTTTAAATTCGAGGTCTTTCTCCCGGGTAGGTTCTTTGAGGACGGAAGCGGGGCTTTGGTTTTGTTTCATTTTTTTATCTTTGACCTGGTGTTACATAAACGAAGGTTGTGGGGGGCAGACCCCCAAGGAGACTCGTCGAGTCCTGCTGGTGTGGGGGTGGGCGGCAAGTCAGGACAGCCCGCAGGCCTGGCTTCTGGGTGGCTGGGCTTAACCTCGTGGGACTGTTGAAGCTGTCTGTGGCTGAGGAGGCAGGGCGTGTCTGTCGTTCTTTGGAAACAGACGTTTGCTTTCCCTAGATGAGCAGCAGCAGCAATAAAAGAGCTCCGACGACAGCGACCCAGAGGCTGAAACAGGACTATCTTCGCATTAAGAAGGACCCGGTGCCTTACATCTGTGCTGAGCCCCTCCCTTCCAATATCCTTGAATGGTAAGGCTCCACGTGACCATTCACCCCACGCCGACTGTCACCTGGGTTCTCTGCTCGCTTGATGGGGAGGCCCTGGTGCTCCTGTCCTGTCGTGGCATTGGGAAGGGTGCATCTGTCTGTACCGCTTTCAGACGCGGGCAGGCTGAGGCCTACGGATGAGGCCTGGTTGTCTTCCTGATGGGCGGCGGCTGGGGCCACCATGGGGTCTTCCTTGACCTCTGTCCCCTGGGTCTGGAGAGAGCACGCTGGGGAGCGCCTCTCAGGTGGGTCTGTGGGATCCATAGGGGAGGCTTCGGGGCACGTCATAGGTCTCACGGCTGTTGGTGGAGAAGTTGCATTTCTAGACTCTCCTTTTGCTCTTTGCATCTTGGTGCTGTAGAGTGGCCTGTCCTGTCTTAGAGAGTTTGTGACAGAGGGTCAGGGGCCCTGATGCTTGGGTTCCTGGCGCTGGCTGGGGCAAGTGCTTGGTAGCCCTGGCCGACGTAACAGGCTCTGAGCCTCACGCACACTTGCTATATAGTGACTTTCAGGCTGTGCTCAGGTGTGGCCTTAGGAGGTTACGTGCTTCTACGGAAATGCTGCCCTTAGCAGATTTATCGGTTCTGTGGGAAGTAAAGTGTAGGGTTGAGATAGTAAGCATTTTCTGTGTGAAGGGTATTTTGTCCAGAGAAAAGGAATTTAACTGAGTTAAAAGCTGTTTTTTAGATTGGACAGGTGTTTGGACAGATGTTCACGGGTTCTGGATCTACCTTCCTCAGCTTGGGGAGGAGGGGCTGCTCTGGCAGGTGAGGGAGGGTTTTCAGGGTGAAAAGGGCCGCGCGGGACTGAGGCTTTGGGGTTACAACAGAGCTTCCCCGGCCCCCTGAATTGGCAGATGGAGGGACAGCTCCCACAGCAGTCGCAGGGTCGTCCTCGTTGTTTGGGGAGCCTCTCTGCCTGTGAGTTCAGATCTCCAGGTTCAGTCATTCACAAGGAGGATCGATCGCTGAGATTTGTTTCCATGGAAAACCAGCAAAATTAGCAAAGGGACAGACAGTGCGCTGGAGTCGGAGTCCATAGGAGACCGACACGAGCCCCCCCAGCCCTGCTGTGACCACACACATGAGGTGCTGTCCCCCAGGGAAGCCTATCAGAGACCCAGGACGCAAGATTGCCAGTTGGAGCAGGTCATGTGCCTCTGCCCGGCACCTCCCAGTGTTCCAGACCCCCAGCAGGGAGGCTGCCTTCCTTCTAGCACGATCCATGTTGTATCGTTGGCATAAACAGTTTATGTTGCATCAGGGTGGTGAGCCCCTCTCCCCACTCTGGAATCCAGTTCCCAGACTGGCTGGGGACAGTCGTGTCCGGCCTGCTGGCTGGGCTCTATCACCTGCTGGGGGTGTCCCCCGAGTGCCGTGCTGCTTGGCCACTCAGGCCGCTGGGCTCTCTGCTCTTGCTCGCTGCCCCTACCCAGTGTTCCCAAACTGGACCCCGGAATTGGGAGCAGTGACAAATTAAGGCCACGTTCCTGGGTGTGTCACGTGCTTAAGGTCTGAGGCTTGTTCCTGGTCCACCAACACAGGATGGCAGTGTTTGTGGAGTAAAACATATCAGCTGGCATGTGTTTCATCCACGACGTTCAAGTGGCATTTGTGGGAAGAGGGGTTTCCGAAGGGATGCTTAGTGACGTGCTAACAGCTGTGTCTGATTGGCTCTGCGTTCTCTTTCGTGCTTTTCTCTTATATTTGAAAATGCTTAAGTCCACGCACCTCTTGACGTGCGGCCGAAGCTCCTTATTTGCATGGGAGAGTGGAATCTGTGAGTGCCGCCGCTCGTGGTCTGAAGCACGTGGGTCCACCTGGGCTTGGGCTCTGTGTGAGGACTTCAGTGACAGTTACAGGCTATCCCTGTTCTCCTGCGTGAGGCCAGCTGCTCTGAGGTCACACGTCTGCTTCTTCTAGAACATCAACACTGGGGGACACAGAGCCACCTCATGTCACCAGCCGTTCCCCGCTTGGCCTACTTCGTGATATTTGGGCACACTGAGAAGTGCAAGTTTCTAAGTACATCTCAAGAATGTGTGTGAAATTAGCATTTGAAAATTTGTTCTGGACTTTCATGGTTAGAGAGTGTTAGTTTCTTAGGTGTCGCAGGCACGAAAGTACTTTGTGGAGGACGTGAAAGACACAGTTCCTAAGACCCCGTTAGGAGTGCGTAGACCACAGCACAAGTTCCCCTGGGATGTTCGCACGTCTGGTTTCGGCTGGACCCCACACCCCGGCCGCGGAGGGACTCAGAACTCGGAGTGTTTGCCGTCCCTAAAGCCAGCTCATTTTCTTCTCTCCCTCAGGCACTATGTGGTCCGAGGCCCAGAGATGACTCCTTATGAAGGTAAGTCAGTCTTCAGTCTGAGCGAGGGGAACAAGAGACCTTTTTGTCTTCTGAACAGACCTCTCCTGTCAAGCACTCCGTGTCTGTGACTCACGCTCTAGTCTGCATGTCCGTTAGTAACATTGCACTTGCTTGGAGTCTGTCCTCGTTGCTTCAGATCCTAAAGCGGTTTAGTCTTCAGGGGCTTTCTGTGAGTCTCAGAGGTTACCCAGCCTCTGACGTGAGTGGGGCCAGAGCCGGAAGACAGACCTGGTAAGCCGTGCAGTGCAGCCATTTTCTCCTGCTGCGTTCAGACCCGCACGAATGTTGTCGGGAAAGAAAGCCGTGGTTGTCGAGCGCTCGCTCTGCCGAGCCCTCTGAGCCACGTGGTAGCCCCTTCGTGTGGATGGGGCCCCGAGGCTCACGGGGAGGGTGCAGGGTCTGCCCTGGCACAGCCGGGCACCTCTGCTCTCCTTGTGCTGCCGGGGCTGACCTGGTGATGCTGCCCAGTGTCCTCTGGTGTCATTTACAAAGTAGACCTGGGATTTTTCAGTCAGCGGGTCGGGGGCCTACAGGGAGCCTGGCACCAGCCTCAGGGTTCAGGCCAGGTCGGGGGATGAGCCGTGGTGGGGCAAGCCCAGGGCAGAGCTGTGGCCGGGCTGTACCTTCGGCTCTCCAGCCACTGGGTCCTCACTTTGAGTGGCATCTGCCTCCACGTGGGGCTTTTGCGTAAGAGTTCACTGGAAGAGAGTCCGGCTGCTGGAGAAGCACATTCGAGACCCACTGCTCTGGACCATGAGGGGAAAGCTGTGGGTGGGGGTGGGTGGTTAAGAGTGGAACTGGCCTGGCTCTCTTGAAGGTGGTTTGGCACGTGTGTCACCAGCCTTATGAGGACTCTCCTTTGACACAGGAGTCTCTGTTCTGGGAAGACGTGTCCTGGGGAAACAGGTGCAGAAGCCTTTCTGTAGGGTGGGTGTGTTAATAGTGTCACACCGGGGGCCGCCCGAGTGTCCGGCAGCGGGGTGTGGGCTTGATGGGCTTGTGGTGGGGTTCCTAGAAAAGCAGCAGCAGATGGGCTTCAGGGCAGCCTGGACAGGTCATAATTAAAATGCCTGTTAAGGAGGTGCCTGGGTGGCTCAGTCGGTTAAGTGTCCGACTTCGGCTCAGGTCATGATCTCACGGTCCGTGAGTTTGAGCCCCATGTCGGGCTCTGTGCTGACAATTCAGAGCCTGGAGCTGCTTCGGATTCTGTGTCTCCCTCTCTCTCTGCCCTTCCCCTGCTTGCTCTATCTCTCTCTCAAAATAAATAAACATTAAAAATTAAAAAAAAAGAGGGGCGCCTGGGTGGGTCAGTCGGTTGAGCGTACGACTTCGGCTCCGGTCGTGATCTCGTGGTTTGTGAGTTCGAGCCCCGCGTCGGGCTCTGTGCTGACAACTCAGAGCCTGGAGCTGCTTCGGATTCTGTGTCTCCCTCTCTCTCTGCCCTTTCCCCACTTGCACTCCATCTTTCCTTCTCTCAAAAAGAATAAACATTAAAAAAAAAATACTTGTTAAATACATGTGTGTTTCTAACAAACTAGGAATGAGCATTTTTTTTCTCACAAGTGGGATTTTAAGGTTTTTTTTTTAATAGTTTTAATATTTTTCCAATAAATTGTGAACATTTAGTAATTTTGTAACCAGGCCTGTTGCTGCTGGAAGTGAACCTGGACAGGGGTGGAGGTGGCGGGGGTGTGGGAAGGGCAGGCCCTGAGTGGCTTGGGACCGCAGGAGACCACCCCCCCCCCCAACCCCCAGACCCAACCCTGTCACCAGGGCTTCTTTATGTGTGGTCCTGCCCTGTGTATCTCCCTGCTGGTCATGGCCTTCAGGCTGTCTCCTCAGAGACCAGCTTTTCCTGCTGTTCCTCCTTCCCCTTCTTTCTTCTTTCCCTCCCCCTCCTTAGCCTTCTCTCCCTCCATTGCCTGCCTCCCTCTTGCCCCTCAGCACCTGCTCCTGTCTCTTCCCCTGCTGCCCATCCTCTCTTGCGCTCAGGGCCGCACTCTGCACTCTGTAGCCCTGCCTTCTGCTGACCATTCTCCTCAGGGTCGATGAGGGGCCCCCTGAATTGTCAATCCGAGGGATGGCTCTCCGGCCTCGGTGTCTGGGGTTCTGTGGACTTTGATGGTGTGGGCTCCTTCCTCCACACTTGCTCCTTCTCTGGCTTCTGGATGTTCCGACCCCTCCTTCTCAGTCTCTCATGGCTCTGCACCCTGGCCATGTCCGTTCGGCTCGGCATTGGTTGAGCACCGACCCTGTCCTTGCTCTGGGCTCTGCGCCCACGCTACTGCTGGCAGATTCCAGGCGCACCGATCCTGACGGTTCAGAAGTGGCTTCCCGCTGGTACAGGCGTTGCTGAGGATTCTCTCTGAATCGATCTGTGGATTTTACCCGATCCTGTCAAAGTCCTGGCACAGTTTTTTGTAGACGTACACAAATTTATTCTGAGATTTGTATTGTAAAACGTACACGGAAAGGCAGAGGACCCAGAGCAGTTGAAACAAGAACAGAGTGGGAGGAGTCAGTCTGCCTGGCTTTGAGATGCCTGAGCTTCGGTGAGCCGAGTGTGGAGGGAAATGCGGGTCAGTGGAACAGAGAACCCAGGAGCTGCTTGGCACCGCCGTGGCCCACGGATCTTTTGTTGTTGCTGCAACGGAGTTGCAGAAGCCGTTCAGTGGAGGAGGTGCTTGGTGCAACATCGTCCCTTCCCGGGCACCGTCCTCCCTGGCCTCTCTCCGGGGCCACCGTGCTCTCTGGGGTTTCCGCCCCCAGGGCTCGGTCAGGGCTGTGCTCGTCGCTCGTCTGCCTGTGGACGCTTGGAATGAAGGATGTGGGAGCTGCTGGCGTGGGGGTGCGTGCGCTTCTTCTCTGCACTCCCCAAGGGCTTGACCTCTGGGTGAGGCTCCGCCCTCCCACGTCCCCTGCTTTGCCTCCTTACCTCTCAGGATGAGCCTCCCCCACAGACCCTCCCGGAGTTCATCTCGTACGCTTGACGTTGCACGTCTGGCCGTGGGGGTTGCGTGCGTCTGCGGTCCGGCGTGCGCCGCCCGCCTTGCGGTCGCTTCCCTGGTTTGCGCGGCAGCCGTCTGCTCCCTGTGCGGTTGCCTCTCTGCGCGGCTCCTGCCGAGCGAGCCCTTCCCTCGGAGGGTAGCAGGCGTTGGCCGGCTTTTCACCTGGCGTCTCTCGGGTGGACACAGGAGGCGGGGCTGCCGGGTCAGAGTGGGTGTTGACGTTCACGGGCTCGCCGCGAGGCCGCATCCTCCTGCCCACCTGCCCTCCGCTGCGCTGCGGACGGAGCCGTTTCCTGAGCGGCCAGCTCCAAGCGCACGTCGGCCGGGCCTGCTTCCTCTTGAGAAAAGCACCTGTTGGTATCTCTTGCTTATTTGCCAGTTGGGCTTTTCTCAGCGATTTCGGCTGACTGTGCCTCGAGTGTCGTTCATAGTGCTAGTTTCTCGCTCGGGGGCCCGTCTGGCTGTTGAGTCGGCCTCACGGGGGACACTCGCTCACGTCATCCCTCCGGTCCTGGCAGAGCTTGGAGTGGGAGACGGCACTCACGTGAGGCGGCCGGGGCGCTACGACCCGTACGAGACGTGGGGAGGCCCGACCCGAGTGGCGTGAGAGCAGACGTGTGTGGTGCGTCCCGGTCCTTGAGGTGGGGCCCCACCCAGGGTGCTGGGGACGGCAGGGGGCCCGGGTGGAGGACAGGGCGGCATTCCTGAAGCCTCGCTGCGCAAGCACGCACGTGCACGCGCATCACTGGGTGTCCGGTCAAGTCACGTCCCGTGTCGCCTGCCTGCATTGGGCCCGGGGCTTTGCGTTTCCAGTAGGCTCCCAGGTGCAGCCCCGAGAGAAGGGTGTGAGGTGAGGTAGCCCGTGGGACCGTGAGCCGAGTGGGCAGGGGCGAGAGCCTTGAGGCCCGTGAGGTCATCCCAAGTGAGCAGTTTGGATCGGTTTGGAGGCGTGGCCAACAGGGCTTGCTGGTGGAGGAGGTGTGAGGTGATGGCGGTGGGTGGGGGCAGGGAGGCAGCGGGGCCTCCCAGATTTTGGTGTGAGCGGCTAAGAGGGTGGAGTTGCTGTTCGAGGGAAATGGGTATTGTGTCTTGGACCTGTCCGGGCAGTGTCGCCCGGATGGTCAGCCCGTGGGTCAGCAGTGGTGGGAGGAGCCCCAGACGGCCAGGTGCAGGTGCCAGTTGGAGATATCCCTGTGTCACGTGAGCCTGAGGACCCAGAAGTGTGAGGGGTCAGGGAGGGCACCAGAAGAGCCAGCGGCCAGTGCTCGGGGCAGTGGGACGGGAGTGGGGAGCCAAGGTGGGGTGGTGCCCAAGGAGGCAGGGGGCGTGGTTGTGAGGTACGGGGCGGGCTCTGCTGATCTCCGTGTCGGATTTGGGGGACCGCGGTGGGGGCAGGAACCTCGGCAGGGTGGACCTGGATGTAGCCCTCAAGGGGTTTTACATAAAGGAGGGTGAGCGGCTGGCAGGAGGGGGAGTGAGGTGGGGTCAGGTGTGGTGTTGTGTTTTTTTTTTTAAACATTCATTTGTGAGAGACAAAGACCCAGCACGAGTTGGGGAGAGGCAGGGACAGGGGGAGACGGAGAATCCCATGCAGGCTCCACATTGTCAGCACAGAGCCCGATGCAGGGCTCAGGCCCACGAACTGTGATATCGTGACCTGGGCCGGAGTCAGATGCTTAACCGGCTGAGCCACCCAGGCGCCCCTGGTTTTTGTTTTTCTGAGATGGGAGAATCATATGATGGCAGTTGGTTGCTGCAGGGTGTCATTCGGTGGAGAAGGAGAGACCAGGAGTGCGGGAGAGGGGTCTGGAATAGGGGTGACCTCAGCCGACCTGCTCAGGGGTGGGCGAGAGGACCCAGTGAGGAGCTGGGTACGGCTTTTCCTCTGAGGCTCTGTTCTCAGTGACAGGGGGCCCGGGAAGGGTGAGCAGGGTTGTGCATGTGGGGCAAGGGCCACTCTTGATTTGTGGTCATGAGCCCCCAGTGAGACTGCCAGCAAGATGCTCGTGTTCCGGGGGTGGTCAGCCGCTGGGCCCGGGATGAGGGGGGCGGCGCTGGCAGGGTGGGGGCAGAGTGGGAGACTGAGGGTCGTGGCACCAGCCTGAGGGCTGGAGCGGAGCTTGGTGCCTGGGGCTGCCCCCACAGGGGGTGCACTGTAGACCGTGACAAGGCTCTTTCTCTGTTTTGCTATAGGTGGCTATTACCATGGAAAACTAGTTTTTCCCAGAGAATTTCCTTTTAAACCTCCTAGTATTTATATGATCACACCCAATGGAAGATTCAAGTGCAATACAAGGTAAGGCATTTCTGCCGTGCTTCTCAAGTGTGAATGTGGTCATGACGAGTGTGTGTGCTCTGTTGAGTGGGTCCCTTTCTTGCAGGCTGTGTCTTTCGATCACGGATTTCCACCCAGACACGTGGAACCCGGCCTGGTCCGTCTCCACCATCCTGACTGGGCTCCTTAGCTTCATGGTGGAGAAGGGCCCCACCCTGGGCAGTATAGAGACGTCGGACTTCACGGTGAGGGGTGGAGAGCACGGCTCGCACGTTGGGGGGCTCCCGCTCATGTCCTCGGCAGTGGGAAGAGCAGGCCGGGCTTCCCTCCAGGGACAGCACGGTGTCTGGTCCTTGTCGAGTGGTCTTTATTTTCTTATCGTCTAAGTGGGAACTAAGTTTCATGTTGTTAATTGATGATAGTGAAAGACGAATAAGCCTCAATGAGGCTGAATTAGTTTGTGGTGAACGGCAAGTTTATCGAGTGCTTTCAGCAACACGAAGACAACAGCTTTTGAGGATAAAATGCGTGTAGAATGTGAAAGAGTTGAAATTAATCTTCAGGCTGATATTTCCCTTCTGTTTCTTCCTAGAAAAGACAGCTGGCGGCGCAAAGTTTAGTGTTTAATTTAAAAGACAAAGTCTTCTGTGAATTATTCCCTGAAGTCGTGGAGGTAAGGCACAGATGCCGGCGGTCCGTTTTGCGATGCCCTCGCCAGGAGCACTTCCAGACTTGATTCTTCCGGAGAGAGAACTGTGCTGCCGTGTGTCCCTTTGCTGCACACACACAGCACACAGGGCGCCTGTTCTCACACGCACCTGTAGGTGCTGACTGGCAGGTGCAGCCCTGCCCCCCTCCTCAGGGCGCAGGGCTCCTCGGGTGGGCTGCTGGGCTGTGGGGAAGGGCCTGCCAAGAGGGGCTGGCATGAACCCTCATCTTCGCTCTGGAGCAGGGTAGGCCGCACCCAGGTCGAGGCCACAGTGATTCTGTGTCGCTTGGACCTGCTCAGTCTAGGCTCTGAGCGGCGCAGGCTTGGTGTTTTTGACGAGTCCCTGGGTCCCCTCATCTGTTAAACAGAGTTAAGAGCGCCTCCCGCTTCCGAGGGTGAGTGTCGGGCCGGTGACCACTGGCCTCCCAGGCAGGATCTTTGTGGTGGATCTTAGGACCCTCCCTTGTCCTAAAGGAAGCAGTTTATTTCGACCAAGCCTTGTTCCTTTCTGTTTTTATCTTAGGAAATAAAACAAAAACAGAAAGCTCAAGACGAACTCAGTAGCCGACCCCAGGCTCTCCCCTTACCAGACGTGGTTCCAGACGGGGAAACACACCACGGTCAGAATGGGCTTCAGCTCCTCAACGGGCACGCGCCGGGGGCCGGGCCGCACCTCGCGGGCCTCCAGCAGGCCAACCGGCACCACGGACTCCTGGGCGGCGCCCTGGCGAACTTGTTTGTTATAGTTGGGTTTGCAGCCTTCGCCTACACGGTCAAGTACGTGCTGAGAAGCATAGCGCAGGAGTGAGCCCCGCGCCACAGCCGGCAGAGGTGGTCGAACCGAGGGCACCGCGCCCGAGCTCGCCATGGGCTGGCTGGACGTGCCGCCAGGCGCAGGGTGGACCTGCCTGACTTCTGGGGTTAGCTTTTTAAAAACCTTTAAAAGGAAGAAAAAAACCAAAGCGTGTAATTTGGATTTAGAGGAGGTGCAAGATTCTCCGCTCCCTGTCCTCGCCCTGGGGTCTGTTGGGAACCATGGAGCTTGGGTGTCGAGGAGGGACCTCATGCTTTGGTTTTATAGCTTAATCTCCTGTATCGTCTTTCGGACCTGTTTTAGTAAACTTGTTTTTCATTTTACTAGATTTGGTCACTTAAAAATACAAAACTCGATTAGCAAATACTCTGTGTGCAATTCTTGGTCCAGTGGAGCCCTGGCTCACCAGGCAGGAGCAGTTCCCACAGCTGTGCCTGGCCAGGGGGCCCAGGGGCCTGGCCAGGGGGCCCAGGGGCTGGCCAAGGACGGCCACGGATGGGGGTCCAGGAGACGTGGGGGTTTGGCCTCAGCGTTTGAAACGTGTTTGCATTCTCTTGGAAAGAAACAATCCTTCCTAGGAAAGTGGGTTCTTGTTTTGCTGAAGTTGAAATTCCACATCCGCTTGATGTCTGACCACAAGGTGGCGTCCTTTGTTCAAAGAGCCACCCTATCCTCTGCGGTCCCGAAGGCTGCTTTCAGTTTACCCCCCCCCCCCTTTCCTCCACACCTATGCCAGGCTGGGCTCCCCACTGCCACCTCCAGGTTCCTGGCTACTGCAGGGGTGACCTTTGGTACCCACAGGACATTTCCTCTGACCCCAGCAGCCCCATGGAGTTCTGCACCTGACAGGCTCCCCTCACACTTGGCCCAGATCTTGGGTGTACCCTGAAGATAGGCTCCTGTGTTCCTTTTCACAGCTGCTCCCTGTCCGGTGTGGGCTCTTCCCCTAGAAGACCACACGCAACTGGGCATCAAGAGGAGGTGAAGGCTGCCCCGGGAGGACTGGCCTGAGTTGCGGGCGGGGCTGGTGGGGTTAAGCAGGCTCCCTGGGTCGCTGATGTCTTCCGTTAAGCGCCTGCTTGATCGTTTCCCTTGCACGTTATTTGGAAGCACTGTGTCTGTGAGTCATGGGCTGAGGTGCTGTGATTTCACTCCAGAGGCCAGAGGGGGCTTCAGGTGCAGCCACGCGCTTGTACATCTTCGACTTTGGGTTTTGATCAGTTTATTTAAAATTGCCCTATAATTTACCACTTGTGTGTATTTAACCCACTCGTGTGAAAAAAAATCTTTCATTATATCTTTGTTCCTAAATTTTGTGCCGTTTGAGTCTCTGTTGGCGGAAATGCAAGTCCGTCTCAGCCTGGTGCCAGGCTAGCCGCTGGCCCATGGGCAGGCCAGCGGTTGGGCCTGTGAGGGGTGGGGGGGCTGGAGCTGCCGCATCTGCAGCTCGGTGGTGCCCCAGGAATAACCGCGGGCCCTGGTGGCAATGCTGCTGGGCCTGGGTCCCTGCGTGGGCGGTGCTGGGCAGTGGCGAGGCTCTGCTGTGCTGGATGCTGGGCCTCGCCCTCTGTCCACACCTGGCTCAAGGGTGCGGCTGTGGAGGTGGGCATCTGATCAAACACTTAGTGTTTCCTGAGGTTTTTGAGGAGGTAGATGGCTTAGCAAACATTTTACTCGATGCGGGTTATTTCTTTGCTGTATGTGAAATCTCAACTATCAAAAACCCTTTGTCAACAGTAGAGGTAGATCCGTGCAGTACAGAGCCTTTACCAAGGGTCCGAGGCGGTGTGCTGTCTGAAGTGACCCGAGATAAAAGATGCACTTGGGCTGGCTCAGTCGGAAGAACGTGCGACTCTTAATCTTGGGGTTGTGGGTTTGAGTCCCACGTTGGGTGTAGACATTGCTTAAAATAAATAAAAATTAAGAAACAAAGATGAACTGGTCCTGTGGGGCTACACGTGTCGCTCCCTCTTGGAGGAATTGCTGGCCCCTCGTTCTTGTGTGGGGTCCCCGGTGGAGGGCAGTTGGACCCCCTTAGGCCACCCTTTGGACGTGTGCTTCCCCAGCTGGCCCGGCTGAACCCCTGAGTGTAAGCCGTGCTGTGAAGTCTCTGGATCCAGGGGGAGAAGCCCCCCAGAAAACTGGTCCTGTATGGACGCTGGTGAAACAGTCCCGGAGGTGTGCCCTGTGGTCCCAGAGAAGGGCATACCCAACATTTATTTCTCCCCCGAGAAACTTCCCAGGCAGCCGACAGGTCTGGGCTGAGGCTGGAGCGGCCCTCCCGGTGCCAAGGGCATGACTTCAGGCAGCCCGCTGTAGGGACGGCACCCAGCATCTGGGCTGTGGCTGTGTGGCAGCTGGCCTGAGCCTCCCCTGTGCAGGCAGTTGATGTCTGCGGCAGGGAGGCGTGGACGCTGGAGAGCAGGGTCCCTTTGGTGGTTCCCGGCAGCCCCCGTGCTCACTGGGGGCGCTGGGCCCTGGGAGGACCCGTGGGATGTGGGGGAGGGGGCACTGAAAGCAGAGAGCTGGTTCCCTGACACTGGACCGAAGTCTAAGGGGGCAGTGACCTTCCGCAGAGCATGACTTGGCCGAGACTGCTGGACCAGTGGGCCGAGGAAGTGGCTCCTGCTTCCTGCTTGTTCTCAAGGTGCCTGGGGATGGGAGCAGAGCTCATGGTTCAGGCATGGTTGGATCTGTCTGAGGCCCATTGCCATGTGGCTCCCCCATCCTGCCTCAGAGGCCCTCTGCTGTTGGCCTGCCTTTAGGAGGACCGTGCCGGAGGCTGGTGCAGCTGGCAGTGTCCACACGGCAGCCAGAGACGGCGCATTGCCGATGGCACTCCGGTGACGCACTTTTGAGCCTCGAAGGATCAAACTGTCAGGATGCAGTTGATAGGAGCACAGGTACCCAGCCTGCGAAGGGGGGTCTGGCAACTCAGGAGGAGTCTTCCTGGCTACCTTTCCTGACCCGGTGTTGGGTGCAGGGCACATCTGGGGTTCCACGGGGCAGGGCACAAGGGGATCTTCTGCAGTGCGGCGCCCCCCTCAGGACCCGGCACCCTCCTCAGGACCCGGGCGTTGGGAGCTCACCAGCTGGACACCCAGGAGACCTGAGGCTCCCAGTCGTGAGCTCCGGGTTCACCAGAGCCGGCCTCTGTTGTCCCTGGAGGTGACCGACCATCTCTGCCTGAGCCAGCAGAGGGGACGGATGACCCTGGGCGGACACTCCTCACACCTTCCCCACCAGGCTTGTCTCGGCGCCTCAGCATTCCTGGCAGACATCGGGAAGTTGAGGGGTGCCTGGAGGACTCCTCCACCAGGACCGGTGTGCCCCACCTTCCTCTAGGCCGGACTGCAAGCAGCAGCTCCTGCGGGGGCTATAGCCATGGCTCTGACCCGTCCTAGCCTCGGTCCCCACGCAGGCCCTCACCACGCGGCGAGTGAGTCTGTGCGGCTTGTTGGCTTGGGCTGGCCCTGGCGGACCCGTTGCCCGCGGCGTGCACCTTGGAGGTGGTTCAGGACGGGTCCCAGCTCTCCCTGGGGACCCGCCCACTGTTGCTCAGGTCCAGCTGAGGGGAGATGCCGAGCTCCCTCTCCTTGGGCGGACAGCTGTGGAGGGAACCGGCTCCTCTGGCGCCACACGGCCACCCAGGGGCTCACACTTGTGCTGACCTCCAGGTTGGGGTGCAAAGGCCTGGGGACTCCGCTCCCTTTCCCCTGCTGGCTCAGGACGATCAGAAGCACAGAGGCCTGTTTGGGTGAGGGCAGCCCCTCAGGCAGTAACGGTTGGCCTCGTGCCCCAAGAAGAGGAGGGGGCAGAAGGACGTTGGGGCGGCCGGGGCCACCCACCGTGCCTTTGCTCTGAGGTCAGTCAGTCCCTCCCCTCACTAGCCAGGCTCCCCGCTAGTGGAGGGCCAGCGCCCACTGCCAGGACAAGGCTGGGAGCCTGGTGGGTCAGCTGTCCTGCTTCCTGGGTCCCGCCTTTCTCAGGAGTGGGATCTGAGCCAGGCTTCTGGGCATCGCTGGGACCCTGGGGTAGGGGTTGCTGTGTAGAGGGCTTGGGGGGCCCGAGTGAGGTGGGTCATACGGAGGAAGGGCAGTTGGGGCTGTTGGTCCTGATGGAGGGCTCCCCTACCCTGGGCCACCACCCTGAAGGGCTGGATGTGAGGTGTCAGGAGCTGAGCTGGGAGGCGGGTAGGGTGAATTCGTGTTAACAGTTTCCAGGGTGAGTTGGCCCTCGCGGGGGGGGGGGGGGGGGGGACGGTGGGGGCTGTTTCCAAAGGCTCAGAGCGCCTGCGGGAGGCGCGGATCCACGCCCCCGGGCTGGCCTGGGAGCCCTTGGCGGCGCCGGCGGACCAGCCGAGTGTGAGCCCTCCCCCTTGGAGCTTCGGGGAGGAGGGGAGGGTTTATTTGGCGGCGGCGCGGGCGGCCAGGGCGCCGCGCGTGAGGGGAGGCGGGCGCCGGCCCCAGCCTAAGGGAGCAGGAGCGCGTCTGCCGTCGTCGTGCCCGCCCCGCCGCTGCTCCAGCTCACCCTGTGTGCACATGCACCGGCAGCAGCCGGGCGCCCCCTGGGGCCGTGTCCCCGCACCGGGGCCCTGAGTGCGGCTGTGCTGCTGCCCCCATGAGCACACTGGGCTGTCCCCACCCGCAGCGCTGAGCCATCACCGAGGTCCGGAGCTGCGGGCCGGCCGCCATGCACTGGGCCCGGGCTGCCGCAGCCCTCCTCTGGCTGCAGCTTGTGCTCCTCGGGGGCATCGGGGCGCGGCGGGAGCCCAAGAGGCCACGGCAGCCCGGCCAGCGCACCGAGCACCCCACCGCCACCGCGTCCAACAGCGAGGGGCTGCCAGGCTCCCCCAAGGTACATGCGGGCTGGTTGCACGTGGGTGCGGGTGTGCACGCCCTTTGTAGACTTCAGGGGGGCCCCCAGCTCTGCAGCCCTCCCCATCCTGTCCCCACGAAGTGGGACTTTGGGCACGATTGCAGCGGCTGCTATTGGGGCATCCATGGGGCCCCCCTGGCCCAGGGGAAGGGGCGGGGGAGGAGAGGGACTTCCCAGAGGGGTTACAGTGAACGCTTTGAAGCCCTAGGTTCCACGTGCTGCCGTTTGGTGTAACTGCTAATTCAGGAGTGGGTGGGGAGGAGTTCTAGACTCCTCGTTGGGAATCCAGGTCCCCCACAACTTGAGTGGCTGGAGGGGCGCAGGCTAGCCTGGACCCTGTGCTTCCTGGAGGTCCTTACCCTGATCGCTCACTGCGTAGCCAGCACCCTCTCCGGCCTCTGGCACGGGCTGTGTTCCTGGTTATTGCAGTCCCTCTGGCCCCAGTCTGGCCCTGGGTCCTCTCTGAGACAAAAGTTCCCCGCACCCACCTCAGCCCTGGTCCTCCACCTTTCCTGCACCTAGTATCTCCAGAGGGGGTCTCAGAGCTGACTCCAGCAGGCCTGGTGGCTTTGTGCAGCTGCCCACCTGGGGGCCGCGGGACTGGGAAGGGAGAGGCCGTTGCTGGGACAGGTCCCCCACCCCCCAGCCCTCACGCCTTTGATCCTGGCCTCCCGCCTCCCAAGGGCGTCTCTGCGGCGGCCAGCCAGGCTGCTCTCAGCCCACGCGGCCCGTTGGAGCCCGGGGCCCCGTTTGCCAGACGGGCAGGCCGAGCCGGAGAAGAGTGGGCTCCCCGCAGCTTCTGGGGCTGATTCCGGCCAGTCACCCAGGGGAAGGTGCTTAGTGGCCGTTCCCTGCCCTGCGTGGCACGAGTCAGCCTGGGGACAAACAGGAAAATCTCTATTCCAGGAGTGGTCTCCGTGGGTTGGGGGGGCTGCCATGGGACACGTCCCCGGACAGCCCTCCCCAGACACTGGAGCTCCTGCTCTTCTTGCTAGGGATGAGCTCATCTTGCACTTGTCCCCTGCTCCTGCAGCCCTTGGCCCCTAGACGCCACTGATGTACCGGTCTCTCAGGGCTCCTGGGTCCCTCAAGTGTGGCCAGGGTGGGTGGCAGCCAGGGGACCGGGCAGATACCAGATATGCGAGGAACCAGGACGTTCCAAAGTTTTTTTTTTTTTTTTTTTTTTTTTTTTTTTTTTTTTTTTTTTTTTTTTTTTTAATCTTTTTAATGTTTGTTTATTTTTGAGAGACAGAGACAGAGCATGAGTGGGGGAGGGACAGAGAGAGGGAGACACAGCATCCGAAGCAGGCTCCAGGCTCCGAGCTGTCAGCACAGAGCCCGACGCGGGGCTTGAATTCACGAACCGCGAGATCACGACCTGAGCCCAAGTCGGATGCTCAACCGACTGAGCCCCCAGGCGCTCCTGGACATTCTGAAGTTCTTGGCGTCCTTCTCTTCTCTGGGTGGGGCCCAGACCAGGGGTGGGAGGTACCCTACCCTACCTGCCCTTCCCATCCCCCCCAGGATAGAGACCTGGCCTGGTCTATGGAGAGGAGGCCCTGGCTTTCCCAGGTCAGGAGGCGGCACCTGTCCCGGGCGCCTGGCTCTTGCTATGCTAGGGACTGAGGGCTGACTGCCAGCCTGGACCCCGGGTCAGGACTGCTCAGCTTGCCCTGCCTGGGTCAGCCCGAAGAGAGCGGCCAGATCTCTGCGAGCCCCATGGTGGTGGCTCTCTCCCAAACCTCGCTCCAACAGTGAGGTGGACTGGCCAGCTGTGGCCTGGGTCAGAGCCTGAACAGCAGGGCCGGCTGGGGGGCCAAGGCCACCAGCTCACACACTCATGTCCAACACAAAGCAAGGCCTGTGCCTGTCCTCCCCCTGGTTTCGCATGGCTCTGGGACTCTCGAGAAGCCCCACAGAGAACTCGCTGCTCTTCACTGCTGCCCGCCTCAGCCAGGGCCAGGCCTCTGTTGGGACTTGGGGGCTGGCCTTGTGTATACACAGGCGTGCCCATCCGCTTGGGAACAGGGTCCAGTGGGAGGGGACATGGTCGCTCTAATACAGAACCCAGACCACGGTGCCTGGATATCAGGCCCCGAGCCCTTGTCCTGTGTCTCATCCTGGTCTGGGTCCCCAGGGGTGGCCCGCGGTGCCCCGTTGCCACTTTTCTTGTGTGTACCCTGAGTCCTGCCCAAGGTGGCCTGGGCCCTGAGGTTCCCCGCTGTCCGCTGGGGGCAGTAGGGCAGGACTCATTAGGGCCCGGTGGCCAGCACACTAGCCCTGTTCCCTGGCCCTGCAGCCGCCTGAGGCCTTGGGGCCTGAGTTCTCAGATGCCCACATGACATGGCTGAACTTTGTCCGGCGGCCAGATGATAGGGCCTCGAAGAGACGGTGCCGGGGCCGGGACAAGAAGTCGGTGAGCCCCGGGGTCTGAACCCAGGGCAGGGGTGGCTGTGGCTCCAACTAGGACCCTCACTTTTCTCCTGCCTCCCCGCAGCGAAGCCTCTCTGGCCCCCCAGGGCCTCCTGGGCCCCCTGGGCCCCCCGGCCCCCCCGGTGCAGCAGTCAACCAGGAGGCCCTGTTGCGAGAGTTTCAGGAGATGCTGAAAGGTGAGGCCCCTGTCCCTGACTCTTCCCGCCTGGGGCTCCGGGGGTGACCCCACACTGACCCCGAGGTGCTGCCTCACCCTTTTCCCCCGCAGAGGCCACCGAGCGCCGGTTCTTGGGGCTGCTGAGCCCCTTGCTGCCTGAAGGGACAGGCAGGTGGCTGGTGGCTGAGGCCTTCCACTGTGGACTGAAGGGCCCTACAGTGGTGGACGAGAGGACACTGCTGGAGCTGCGTGGCTTCCAGGCTGTGAGTGGGCTCGGGGGCTCGGGGGGGGGCCCGGTCCTCTTGGGGCATCTGCTGTAGGCCTTCCTCATGTACCAGCACGGGCCAGCGGGGTGCGTGGTGCTGGGTGGGCTCCCCACCGCTGGGGGGTGGGGTGGGGGCGGTGCTCACAGCCAGCCTGGGACAGCCACCCAGCACATACATGCAGGGGGAGGTGACCTAGGTCAGGGTCAGCAGGTCTCGTGTGCCATGACTGGGTGGGATCCAAGGTGGCCGGGAGGCAGGGATACCTTTCCAGGTGGGGGCTCTTGAGGGTTCATCCATCCCTTGGGGCCTGGAGCCTGTGCCCAGGGGCCCAGAGGAGCATAGACGCGTAGGTCACCCCCCACCTTGCCCACCTGGGGCCTGCTTGGGGTGGCGGCTGTTGGTCACAGGCGCCTCCCCCAGGCTGGATGTGCAAGATGAGGGCCCAGGCGCTGCAGCTGGCTGTTCACCTGCTATCCCTCCAGCCCACTGCCCAGGGCGCCTTCCTGCGGGGGTCTGGCTTGAGCCTGGCCTCGGGCCGGTTCACAGCCCCAGTGACCGCCATCTTCCAGTTTTCTGCCAGCCTGCATGTGGGTGAGTGGGGCCGGCCCCCAGGCCCGGGTCCTTTGCTACAACCCCACCTCCCTGGGGGTCTCACTCAGGGCCACCCTCCCCCAGCCCTCAGCCGCTCCCGGGCCTACATCTGGCAGTGCGTCCTGAAGGCCCCCAGTCCCAGCCCCCCGCCCCTCTCTGCTCCGTCCTCCCTGAGGGCTGTTGCAGGCCAGGCCCTGTCTCCACAGACCACAGGGAGCCGCAGGGCAGGGCACGGCTGCGGGCTCGGGACACAGTGCGGGCGCTCGTCTGCATTGAGTCCCTGTGTCATCGACACATGTGAGTGGGCCTTCCTAGGGGGCACCCTGAATGCTGGGCGGTCGCAGGGGGTGGTGCCCCAGTGTCGACCGCACTGTGTATGGGGGTGGGGTCCTGGCCCCGCAGTCAGCTGTGCCCTCACCCCTGTCCTGCGCGCCCTGTCCAGGTCCCTGGAGGCCATCTCGGGCCTGGAGAGCCGAGGCAGGGTCTTCACCATGCAAGTCCAGGGTCTGCTGCACTTGGAGGTGAGGCCAGGGGGCTGCACCGGGGGGGGG